ACTTTTCTTAAGGTTTCAAATAAACTAACTCAATAATTGATGTGCATATCGCTTTATTTAAAAAATTTGAGTTCAAATCTCTCACTTTCAAATAAAAAAAATTATTTTAAACTAAAAAATAATTTCTTTTCTGAAATTAAAAAATATTTTCAATTGAGTAATCTCCACTCTTTAATTCGTCTTCAGCCAAAAAAAAAAGAAATCAATGGAAATTTTGTGGCGGATACGATAAGTGTTTTTTACGGATCTGCAATTTAAGGGTTGTTAAGTGATTTTTATAATTCAATGATTCTTCATAGGAAAGTACTAATTTCAAAATTAAAAAATTCAACCTTTAAACCACCCCGCCTTCTCTCTGTCTCTCTTCATTTTTTTTTTTTAAAAGGCACGCTTTGCCTGATCACATCGAGTGTAATTAGAGTGGCAGCAGTTGGCTTTGCGAGAGTGAATATGATCCATCACTAATGTGTTCAGCATTAATTTTGAAACACCCAATTGGATTGTTTTGGCCGACGCTCACGACCCGTCCCTCTCCTTTATGCAACCTTGACAAAGGAGAAAAAGGCGAATCACAAAAAGCTTCATAATTGATGTAATATGGATGTGGCAATTTATACAACCACATATGTAAACTTCATTGCAATTAATTCGGTCCCATCCCTTCAGAGCTTTCCTTAGTACGCCCAGCCTCTGCAACTACCACAATTATTTTTGAGTCACCCATCTTATCATCAGAAAGCTACACGGACATGAGTACGCACACTGGAAAAAAACTTGATTAACTTGGCACACACAATTTGAGCTTCAAGAACAAGCTTGTTGGTTTTTACCAAAAAAACAAAAAAGAATAATAGAGTAATTTGAAATTTGAAGAAAATAGAAAATGAAAGAATTTACTCATTCTCATTTCATTTCAGTTTTTATACATGAATTTGAAAATCTAAATTACTGGTCTAAATCTTACCTTGAAAGCTAAAAAGTTTACCAAAAAAATTAAATTAAATGAAGTCAATCACCACATTGACTTTTATATGAACTTTAACAATAGATAACAAAATTTATTAAACTTGAAGAAGAACAAAACGACAATTTTATATAGCGAATAGCCACAAACACTATTAAAACCCTTAATTGAACAACACTAGTTTGGGCGTTTAACTAATAACAATAAGTTGACTAAACAAAATGACACGAAATAAAATGTTTTTCAGTCTTAGAATTTGAAAAAAGAAAACACGACTGCGTATTGCTTCATCAACTTCCGTCTTCAATCTCCAGGTAACCGTTGCTTCCCTTATTCTTCCTTCTTTAACCAAACTCAGCTGCTCCCACCTTGACCAAGAAAACTTCATGAAAGACACTTTTAATGTCTGTTCTTGGCCCTTTTTAAGTGATCTATATGCTTATCTGACAGAAGAACGCGGGTTAACAGTTTATCTAAATTCTCGAAAGAACCACCACCGGGTCTGGAAGCTTCCTCTGCCTTTTTCTTCCACTCCAAGGCATTTGCCTTCATTTCCACACCCTTGTCTCCCTCCATTAACTCCCTAACAAGCATTTCCACTTGATCTCTCCTTACATTGTTATCAATCTCCATGCCAATTCCCCATTCCTTGCAAGCAAACCGGCAGTTGGTTTGCTGATCTCCAATAACTGGCAAACAAAGCATTGGCACACCAGCAGATATACTTTCGATGGTTGAATTCCATCCCATGTGAGATAAGAACCCTCCTATTGACGGGTGCTTGAGGACCTGCTCTTGTGGACACCAGCTTGCTAACATGCCTCTATCTTTAGTTTCGGAGACGAATTCAGGTGGCAAAATCGCTGCCCCTCCCGTGACAAGATCGGGCCTTATTATGCACAAAAACTGCTTTTTGCTATTAGCTAGGCCCCAAGCGAATTCGACGAGTTGTTGGGGAGTCAATACGGCGACGCTGCCAAAATTTACGTACACCACAGAGTTTGGTTCTTTTGTATCGAGCCATTTGAGACATTCAGGTTCTTCTTTCCACAAATTTGAATCAATATGTTTCAATTTATCATGTCCGATCTGATCAACAAGCAAGTGAATTGGACCAATGCTGTAAACAGGGGTAAAACGCATGGCCGAAATAGCACCCAAAGCGTCTTTTTCCAACGAGTCAAATGTGTTGAAAATCAAAGCCGAAGCTTTAGGGTCGAGCGAGACTTGGTCGAAGAGATAATTCAGCATCCAGTCATTCGGGTCTGTAGTTCTAAAAAAACTTGGAAGATCCCTGAAACGCATTTTTTTCATTCCAGGCATCCAATCTATAACAGTATCCAAATATTCATTTGTTAGACCGCTTGCATCTGCGATTTCCAAACAGAAGTTGTGTCAAGCACTGTAAGCAAGAACAGAAGAACCTAAACAACAGTATCTCTTTCATTTTATAATTCTATAGCCAACCAAACTACACGAGTACTATTTACAGTTTTTTATTTTGATTGTAAAGAGAGGAGAGGATTCTACTTGTCACAGGGGTTAACCCTTCTTCAACCAAACGTGGAAGCTGAGCGAAGCAAACATATGAGCTAGCGCTGGCTGGCCAAAAGCGTACACCGGTAATGCCAAATTCTTCAGCTGCCTCCATAGGGAATGGCATGGCATCATCTGCAATAATACAGGTCACGGGCGGGACATTTGAAGATGCGGAGTCATTGAGCTTGTAAAGCAGATCACGGAATGGGTCTAAGCAGTTCTTGGAAAGGGACTCGAACAAAGAAACAACGTCTTGGGTGGCATCAGCATCAGATGGTGGGAGGCCATCCGGGATGGTTTCAAAGCAAAAATCCGGCAAACCATCGAGCGAATTCGGGCCCCTGGATCTGAGTAGGCGTTTATGGTTGTACTCAGTGTTGACAAAGGTTACGTGAAAGCCTTTAAGGTGAAGGACTTTTGCTAGCTTCAGCATTGGGTTTATGTGACCTTGAGCTGGACATGGGATACATACGGCATGCGGTATGTCAGCTACTGCATTATTGCAAGCCATCCTTCGATTTCCAAAAATTTTCCAGCTTCTTGTCTCAGGGTTTGTAGCAAAACGAAAGGTCTATCTACTTCCTTTCATATAACCAATCTGCCAAACCTGACTCCATATCTTTGACTATTAAATTTTTACTGTGTACATATCACCAACTGGTTACCCGGATATTCCAAAAATTACATTTTTATCACATTCATCTATTATGTTCATCCACTAATGATTGTGTGACATCACTAATTTTAAATATATATATGTATTGAATTTTTTAAAAAATACAAACAAGGTTCACGCTTGTAAAGTTTTATTCAAAAAACGAATCTTAAATATATTCACCGAAACAAAAAATTAGAAAAAAAAAAAAAACAAGGTCCACGCTTGCAAATTATTATTCAAAATAAGTTACTATGTTTTTCCTCAAATTATTTTGGACAAAATTTTAAAGAATGTCCAATTAATATTTAAAAATTTTCCCTGTGAACCTTACCCAAATTAAATTAAATATACGCTACTCATTAAATATTGAATCCGTTTATTATCATCTTTACTCGATTAAAGTTGAAAAAGGAAAAAACAAACAGGAAAGTGAAAGTGTAGGTTGAAGAAGGACGTAGAGAATGGAGGAGGAAAGAAAAAACCCAGGTCCCTATCAAAACTCATGACTCCACTGAGTAATTTTCCCAAGAAAGCATGAAAATGAAGCCTTCACATTATGAAACCAAACTAAAACCAGTATAATCTTAACAATTCTTTCCTTGTCGCCGCAAAACAATCAACTAAATCTATGAAACAATTCGGATGTGCATGCTCCACAACCCAAGGATAAATTAGTCAATCAAACTCATCACCTCAATCTCCAGATAAATCTTTTTACCAATGTAATTGCTCGGCAAAGCCAAATTAAGGGCTGTCTTTATCCAGGGTTTAAGTGCCCCAAAATTTCTGACATAAATCTATTACAAACTTCAGCAATCCCATATTCATCTACTATTATTATGCATAAAGCAACGGCTGCATCATTCTCTAGCCATTCTCTGTTGGCTCCTCGCTTTTCAGCTTCCTTTTCTTCTTCCTGTAAGACCCTCAAAAGACACTAAATTACCTCTGTTAACCCTTCAATCTTTCTTTCGAAAACCTCATATTTCAAGACCCATTTCTGGGTTTTCTCCATCTAACCTTTCCTTCCCTTTGAACAGGAACAAGAATCCCGAAATTCTTACTTTCAAGGCCTAGCCAGTCATTAGCCACCACAAGAATCAACCAAATTAAAACAGAGCTCAAAAAATTAAGCACTAACTTGCGATTAATTTGTTGGGAGCCTAAATTTTCACTCTTTGGTTTGTGTTTCACTTGTCTACGATCCAAACATTGCATCATCCAGCAATTTGGAATTTGCGGCACTGCCACAAACGGGTAGCAGTGCAACACGGCTTATTAAACACCTCAACATTTTGGGCATCTTTTTCTAAAATATAGACAATAAGATAATAGTTACTTCCCTTAACAACAATTTTCCAACTTGATTATTAATTATTTGTCTGCCTAGGGTGTTTATATAAGAAAATTTCTTTTGCATAAAAAATAACTATACACTTTTTTTTTCTTTGTTTCTTTATTAGTAACTACTCAAAATGAACATTTAACAATTCTTAAATAAAACAATCCATTTTTTTTATCTTGAAAATATATGGAATTTATAGTTTTTCCCTTTTAACAAAAAAAAAAAAAACAAAGTTGTCACTGACAAATTATTACTCCCTGTATTAACTTCCAAAGCCATTAAACCATATGGAATATTAATTCTAACTGTGAAATAAATAAATAAATAAATAATCTGGTGGTTTGTTACCCCACGCGTTTCACCGGAGAAGCACGTTTGGGAGCATAGACAGCTGATAATGGAAATCAACGTCTATTTAAGAAAAATCGCTGACTAAAAAGATCACTGGCAAATTCTACGGTGAGACTATCCTTTATCAAGAAGGAAATCAAGTTTTGAAGTGGTCAAATATCGGACAAAACTCGAGATTGTAACTGTGCATTCATATACAAAGATGCAATGACACTTCCCTAACATATACACAGACTTTGGACTTTGGTTGCCAACATTGAGGCATCATTTCCTCCCCTTTTCCAGTTTGTGAACGCTGTAGATTACAAGGTGCAACAAGCTGAAATTCTATCCAAGTCTCTCATTTACGAATGCAGCAGGAACATTTATTGATTACACACAAACAATACGCCCAAGGAAAAATGTTACAGCAAAAAAAATGCCGCAGGCAGCACCCTCTAAATAGCCGGCTTCTACTTTCATTTACCCTTCTATCCAAACAGCTGATGTTGCATGAGGATGGTGCATATCCTCAATTAAAGTCTCTCATATTTGTTAGACAAGATGGGAGGAGAGCAGAGGAGCATCAACTTATCAGTTTTCCAAGTCTTTTTTCTGCAAGGTTAGCAACTTTGTTCTGTGGCTCTAGAACCAGAGCGTGTTTGAAATCTGCAAATGCCAAAACAAGAAACTGCTGTAAGATAAGAAGAGCAGTATGATACATAATATTGCACATATAAATTATAAGATGCAAATACATCATGCCTAGGAGAAAAAACTGTCCTAAGGATGCGAGAGTGATAGGATTGCCTGGTGAAACATGTATCAATTATAAAATTATTTCATATCTCACTCCATGACAGATTTGAACACCATATGGAGTTTGGGTCCAAAATCACTCGGTAAATGGTCCTATGCATCTGTCTGTACCCATGCATGTCCCTACTATGTATCCAAAAAACTATTTGCTGAAGGTACCAGGGCACTTTTTCCTGTTTGCATTAATGTTCCGAAACCCCACATCAGGTAGCAAACCTGGTATCAACAGAATGGACCAACCAAATGACAAAGTACAAGTATTTAATGTATTATTACTATGTAACCTAACTGTCGCACCATCTCAAAGGTTTAAAGATTAGAACATCAGATTGCATTAGTATATATGAAAGTGACTGGGATAGGAAAGAGAAAGGGGGATAAAAGAAAAAGCTTCATAAACTACAATTGTAGATTTAGCAATTCATACAATTGTTTTAGTTGCCATTAAAAGATAATTATAATAAAAAAGGCTGCAATTTATACAACCAGAAACCTGAAATGCATAAATTAGTTGTATTTATCAACAATTTAAGCTAGCTGGCTGGAAATGAGTCTCACGTCACATGTGAGGCATAATAAGCACTGTTCTCACCTTCAAGAGCCTCTTTATAACAGAGTAGTGATTCTCTGGCTGTCCCACGTCTAAGATATGCCTTCACATTCTGCACAAAAATAAAATTAGTTGATTATTAGCATCACTGGACTGGAGTGTAGCAGCATTTATCTCATACATGCATACAAATTTTTAATTCCACTAGTACAAACTGTCAAATAAGAGGAGCGATATCATTCAAAAGTATCACATTACCATCACATATTCATTCAATTACCTTTTTGTCAAGTGATATTGCCTTACTGCAGTCCTCTTCAGCTTGCTGAAAGCTGCATATTCAAATATCAGTTTCCCTTAGAAGAATGCAGACACAAAATGATGCAAAGAACAGAGTGGCTATAAATCTTTGAGATATTATACCATCCTAGTTCCAAATAAGCTGCTGCCCGATTGTTATAGTATGTTGCTGTTGTCCCATTTAACTTAATAGCTTCACTATAGTAACTGACAGCCTTATTCCACTGCATTCCCTTAAATGCAGCATTTCCCTGAAATAAAACTTGTCAACCAAAACTTAAACAATAGACCTCCCTTTCTTCACTTATCTCTTACTATAGGTAAATAAAAACGCAAGTGCAACTTGACAACAAACCAGCATGCTAATTGTGTCAGCAACTTATTCATAAGAAATGAATGTCATACCTTAAACCACCACAAGTGCCAACTCTCCTGAAAGTGAATAAATAATTTCTACTGGCATTTAACCCAGAAAATACTACTAGATGATCTAAATTATCAAGCATCAATGTTAATGACCAAAGTTGCCCACCTGTTGCAACTATGAACTTCAACAGAAAAAACATACTTTATGCACACGTGAGGCTGGATGCTAGTTCTTAGAAGTGTTGCAATAAAAAGGCAGAAGTTCAGAAAGAGAAAATGAGACAAAGAGAAGTTCTCCATCATTTCTTTACAGGTTCAGAGGCCCAACCAACATCCCCAGTAACAAGAAAGCATTCTTCCTACTGTTACTTGTCAAGTGTATGTGAAAACTCATTAAACAGTATGCCATTTAGTAAACAACTTATGAAAGGAAAAGAATACAAACAGACAAACTAAAACCTCATTTTGGATTAGTTGTAATCTGAAAAGGTGAAAACTGACAAGTCCCATGAACAAATAAAATCAAGGATCAAATTCCAAATCCATTACATTATTGACATTGATAGAAATTTTGTTAGGCAAATCAAAGCATTAAGATATTGAAAGACATTAGATGAGAGCAAACCTTTTCCTTCAAGAGTTCAGAAGCATCCATATTACCATTGACATCAGGCAATGGCACCGAATTGGAGGCAATGCTGACTTGGTCTTGCAGAGATGCATACATATCCAAAACTGTATCAAGAAGAAATTTATCTGCTCCATGGCATGTGACAAACGAAACAGAAACAGGACAATCATCATGCTTTCCTAATGGAACAGAAACCTGGGAAGAGATTGTAAGGCTAAATAAATGACTGAACAACACATGAGAACAAAAACTTAAGCCTAGCAACAAAAGTCCACCTGACAGCCACCAGACATGCTAGCGATGCTCAATAATGCATATGCTCTATCCTGAAACTCAGTGGAATACCCTTTCTTTGAGTTAAGCTTTAGTGGAGGATCTGCAATTGTGGGAATCACTAATATTCCATCATCCTGAAATAAAAAGGATAACTTGTCATGTGAGATCAATCAATTCCAGGCCATATGCTATTATCCTTACCCATACCATTTCAAGACAAGCATTGAATATTTGAGAGCATTTTGGATCCATAAAAGCAAACCCTAATCCATCAGAGTTATGCACCTATGTATATACTCCTAATATATGTCAAACATTTAACATTTTTTTTTCAATTTCACTTATTCTAATAACTCCTTTTTGTATATGGTAGACATTATTATAGAAAATAATAACACAAGTTAACTTTGAAAAAGAAGAGCAAAAGGTTAATTAATACAACTTAAAAGAAAAGAGGAAGAAGGTGAACAAGCTGCCACACCTTTAGAAGACTTTGCACGGCAGCTCGCATCTCAGTCCTAACTTTGTACAAATTTTTCACATTCTCATATGCAGTGTTGATTGAGGCAAGAACACGATTAGAAATCTCAGCTCCCAGTCTTGGTTTAACATATTTAACCCATTCTTCGTGGTTTGTTTTGAACTCATATCTGAAACATAATACTAGTAGATTTTAAGAGAGCTGGTCAATGTACAAAACCAAGAAACAAAAATTTAATATAACAATAATAATGACAATATCCAGATTGAGGGATTGCAACAACACAAGCAGGGGGAGAAGGTATAGGTACTTCTGCATATAACAACGAATTATTCTCAAATACCTTTGCAATGACACCATCACTGATGAAAGAGCTTTCAAAATAGAAATTCCATTTTGTAGGTTTGTGGATACTTGACAAAAACCCTTTAGACTGGGTACATTTGAAGCAACATATTGAGAAAAATTGATATGCTTTGGAGGCTGGTCTGTGCAATCAACAAGAGGTAGAAGCGTCAAATAGTAAAATTCAAATCATCATAACAGGAGGTAGCAGCAGGCTAGAATCATGACTTTCAGACCACACACACAAAAAGCAACAGATAGGGATAGATATTTTAGGTCATGCGACTTACACCCAGAAAGCTTTTCAATTGCTTTGCTAACAACATAAACTGTCTTTTGCTTGGGGACCTTTGAGAGCTGGAATAGATCGTCAGCAAACACAAGGCGTCTCGCCCTTCTAGGTTCCACTGTTTTTAGTTGAAGTAAAACATGTCCAACACGATGTAGAATAGATGGATCACGAGCAAACCATCCTGAGACATCATCACTTGACGATATCAATAAAAAGACAATCACAAAAGCAACAAAGGAAAGTGAACTCCCCAGAACTTCACCGATCAGCAAGAAATAATAATCTTAAATCCCCATTATTTTTTTGAACTAGCCATTCTTCTCACAGAACTCCAATGACATATGCCACAACCCTATAGGGGAAGAATGGTCTGCTCTGTTTACAGAGGTGGCATCCATTCATTAATAAATCTTGCTTTCAGTTGCACCACACTTTAGTTAAAAAAGGAAAAAGGGGAAAAAGACTAGGTGAGGCCAAAGCGAATTGGCAGAATTATATTTCAGAGTAGCTGAAGATATCAACAACTACTATCTGCATAGATATCCAACAAATATCTAAACAATCAGATAACAAGGCCACATTGCAAAATTAAAGCATAAAATAAATCACGATTGCTATATAATACCAATAGCATCCAAACTTTGTGAATTTGGAAGAAGTCCAATTGTAGATACAGCTCCATGAGATGCACGGAACCCAAGAATGCCACAGAATGAGGCCGGAATTCTCACACAGCCAATTGTATCAGTACCTACAAAGTCAACAAAAGGCCTTCTATGCTCAGATAACACTAAGAGTCTGCAGTAACCGTCTCTGGATGGAAAAGGAAAATAAAAGGAATGATATTCCAGTCTAGTAACTAATTAATCATGAAAGAAAGAAAGAAAAAACCCAACAAACAGGGGAAAAGCTGTCGGGTTGACTATTGAGAACCGTAAAGAACTGAACTTACCTAGAGCAAAGTCCACAAGTTCAGCTGCAACTGCCACAGCAGAACCACTTGAAGAACCCCCTGGAACATTTGACGCCATGTTTGGATTTGTAGGTGTTCCGTAATGCTTATTTTCCCCAGTTACTCTAATAAAACAAATAAACCAAAACTTCTATCACGTTTTGGTAAATGCCCTTCTTCCTAGATAGGAAAAATATATATATACATAAAAGGTTACCCCAAAGCCAGTTCGTCCATAACTGTCTTGCCAACACATTTAGCCCCATTTTTCAACAAAGCAGTAACCACAACCGCCGTCTTATCAGCAGGTTCGTGTGTTCTCCGCCAATCCGGATTCCCAAACCCCGTTACATAACCTTTCACATCAAATCTGTTACAATCAATTGAATAAAAAAATAAATAAAAGACGGGGAAAAAATGTACAAGAAAACATAACTGGGGAAGAAAGAGCGTTGGAATTACGAACATGTCCTCGATGGCAAAGGTAAGACCCGATAGTGGAAGTTTGGCGGCAGGAGGTGGCGGCTGAGGGAAAGGAATTAACTCGAAGCGTTCCAAAAAAGCGCCAAAATCTTCTCTGTTGATGATTGTCGCGTTCCTTCTCATTCTTCTACTGGTCTCTGCCAGAACTATGATTCCGGCCACTGTCACTCCTGCCACTATCCAAACCTTGGGGTTGGAAGCGTTGGTTTTTATAAGATGCAGCGCTTTTGACATGATGGGATTCAGAGAGAAAGGGGGAAGAGGCGAGGGGAAAAGGAGAACCAAAAACCAAAAGCAAAGGGGGCTAAAGGGGTTTTGGAAGGGTTTTAGGGGAAAGGTTAATGATCGGAGAGAGAAATTGGAATATGCTACCGTGCGTTGTGGGTAAACAATTAAGCGCGCGTATACATGCCGCGCCGGATTCTTTGTCTGTGGCTTTGGTATTGGTAGTAGCTATAGAAATCTTGAACGCCGCATTGTTTATTTTGACTGCCCATCTCTGATTTTTCTTTTTCTTCTCTTTTCCTTTCTCCACTCCTATCTTACAGTACAAAATACGCCTTCCATTAATTTTTAAAATAAATTATTCTTTTTGTGCAAATTAAAAATATATATGATATATTTATATGACCACCTTATTTTAAAAAGAAAGAATGATATTTTATTGTATTTGCTTATATTTTTGTGTTGAGATTTTTAAACAATTACATTTATTCTTTTACAAAGTTAAAAATATAATACTAATATTAAACTTGCAAAATATTAAAATGTATTTTTCAAACTATTAAACTTCACGAGTGATTAGAGTCAGAAGATTATCACATATTTTATTACAAAATATTTTAAAAATTAATATTTTAATATTATATTATTAAATTTTAAAATTTTAATCATTCTAAAAAATACCATTATCATAATCCCAAACTCCTGCTTCATCGTTCAGATTTGCTCCTCCTCTTATGGAAAGGTTAAGATGGTGATGCAGGGGATGCCAAAGTTTGCTGAGAAACTATATGCTAATCCCAACAATGAAGAAGGTGATCTTAAGCATATCTGGGCTTTATTTACTCAAGCTAATTCTCTTTGGGTGCTTATCTTCTAAAAGGCAGGAGTTTTTGAAAGATTAACTGTACTCAGAGCTGTAGCTGGACTTGGGAAATCTTAAGGAAACTGCAAGGACCCTTATTAAGCACGAAATTGGAAATGGGCTCAATAGTGTCTTTTTCTGGTATGATGGTGGCTACCTTCTGGCCCCCTCCTTCTTACTTACGACAGAGGTATTTTACAACAGATTTGATATATCCGAAGTTGCAGGTGGTGTTTATCTTACTAGCAATGGTGCATGGCAGTAATGAAAGGCAGATTGTGGTGTGGCAGGCTGCAAAGAGTGGTATGTCTAAGGCTTCTGATTCTTGTCAGTGGCTTACAGTTGGGCACAAATTTTGTGAGGAATCAACTCTCTCTCCCTAAGCATAGATTTTATTGCTTGGCTTGTTAGTTTAGATAGACAGAGTAACTTTCTCGGGTCTGAAGTTGGGGAATTGGTCTTGGAAAAAACATGTTCTGTAACGCTGAAGAAGAGACTGGAGATCACATTTGTTTTTTCCACTGCAGGACATTTGGAACCGAACTCTTGAAAAGCTGCTTATTAAAAGAGGGTTGATTGTTGGCAAGAATAGTTTTGAGTGGATTCTTGCTCACTCTTAAGCCATGTGTTTTGCGGCTGTGTTGTTAAGAGTGGTAAGCATACTTGCATCATCTCTGAGGGACTTACAAACTTGAAAACCTTTGGCTATTCTATGTTGCTTTTGAGGTAATTATTCAAGTGCCCAACTACCCTTTAAACTTTCTTTTTCGGCTTGTTATGTTGTTGAGGTATCAGCTTTTCCCAATTTTCTTGGACAACTACAATACTAGTTATTCAAAAAACCATCTAATATTCTCAGTATTTTTTTATTTTCACTTCTCTCTTTCCTTGATTTTCATTTATTTATTTTTCTCACTAATTATCACTTTCTCTCTCTCTCTCTAAAACTCAGACTTCGCTGGCCAGAAAAAAACAATTCACTCTTCTATTTGTTAAACTATTTATATTTTCTCTAAAATCTAATTTTAAAATGTTTGTACTTGTAAATCCGAAACTGCAATATTACTTTTTTAAAATTTTAATCAATACTTTTTCATTTCAATCAAATAGTACAATATTATCTTCATAACAGTCTCCTCGATAATAACTTGCCCAACACGCATATTCCATTGAAAGGCCATAACGAATAAGCATCTATGGCTACCTAAAAATTCAAGTACAATGACATAATTAGCATTTAGAGAGAATTCAAAGACTCATTTATGGTTTATGCAGTATCTTTCTCATATTATAAGCCCCAAAGAGAGGAAGATAGTTTCAACATATTGGAGCTTTTCAAGCATATAACATTTTTCTATCACAGCGACTGCATGTATGAATGCAGTTTTATATAAATCCATTTTAATCTCAATGGCTTCGGATGAGCAATGCAAATTATACAGAAAAATGATGGTACGAATCTACAAATTGAAGAAATCAAGCAACTAGCAAGCCGCACGACCCTAAGTGCTAGTACTTTAATTTTACAGAGAAGAGAAATATCAGATATTGAATTTTCACCATGATGCATTTCATGAGATTGCTTGATTGTGTTTGCCTATTGATTCGTATCTTATGCAATCAAGGAACTGTTTTCTGTTGCATTCAGTTTCCGTTTACCCCTTGAAACGAACTACAATACAGGAGATATCATCCTTACTGTCTCTGTTCAATGCCTCCGCTGCTAGCTGTTTGGCTGCTCTCTGCGGGTCCTTGGCCTTTTTTGCAATATCAACTGCCTCTTGATTGGACATCACCTGGATTAAATTCCATCCAGCATGAGAAAAATAAACAAGGCATGAGAAATTGCTGATCTTGAGAGAGATGCATCACCTTCCATAGTCCATCACTTGCTAGGATGAGAAGTTCAGTATCCGAGTCAACATCAGCATTTTGTACATCAGGATCAGATCTGAGGTGTGATTTGAGATTCTTGTCTCCAAAAGCACGAGAAACAGCAAGTTGGCCATTCACTCTTGCAACATCTCCTGGGATAAAATGCAACAAGATCAATTATCATGAAATAGAAAATCAAGAAAAGCATCAGTAAGTCATACAAAAGTCTAGTATTGATTAATTAGCATATACAAGGATTTCACAAAAGCATATAGATTCGACAAGATAGACCAGAATGAAAAGAAAAAGAGTAAGTACACAAACAAATGGGAAAAAGAACGAAAAAGGGCAACAACTAAACCAATACAGCAAGAGAGATTGTCAGTCTCTGTTGAATAAGCTTTTTATCAAGTCTACTTATTTGTCACACACAAATGCAAACCTGGCATGGAATTCAGAAAAAGGCCTCCAACTCTTCATGCAGGTGTCGTATAAGCCTCCCCAAAGTGAACTTTTTCACTTTCATTCAGCGGCGAAAAGAAAATAAAAACAATTTCCTTCAAGAGAAAATTAGACATAAGGACAAAGTAGTTGTCAACTAACCTGGCATGTTTGAGACAAAGCCACCTCTGTTCTCAATGCTTCCCCGCTCAGTGTTGGGCTCATGATCAATACTCATCTGTATTGCCTGCCCTTTCTTTGAGAGAACAGCACGTGAATCTCCAATATTGGCTACCCATAATTTCCGTCCATCTATCAAAATTGCAGTGACAGCAGTAGATCCCCCTCGTCCCAAGTCAGGGCTATGTGAGAGAATTGCCTGGTCTGTCTTCTCATAAGCTTTAGAGATGGACCTAGTGGGATCAGTCCAAAACTCCTTCTGCAATTTATCGTATATCACAAGGTAAGGGCATATTTTAACAACCGGTCAAGTTGCCAGAGAAGTATAACATCCAGAATCATGGAATCATCAATTCAAGGCCAATTAAAGTTTCTTCCTTTGCCTTTCATTTCCTAACCAGGATTTTAGTTTATTATCAAATGAATTGCAAAAGGTAAGTTTATTCTCTACCCAAAATCCCCACCTCTCTATCACCTGAGCAAAGTTTAAGTGGCTATCCCCATTGCAATTGTGAGATCAACAAAGACTCTTAAAATGTAGTAGGAAACAGACGAGTGATTCCTTCTGATTCTGGTATACAAATGCCCCTTAGCCCTTACGGATTATGCATATTTGTTTAATCAAGAACTCACATCCTTGAAGATATTGGAAAACAAATGCTTTTGTAGATAGGCAGGTACATTATCTCCCAAATGGCCATCATATATAGCAAAAAGTCCAAGTTCATGTCCATGAAGCTGAGCAAACTTTGCAACATGGTAATCCTCCATTGGGTGACTTGCTTTTCCTTTTACTAGGCTGAAGCCATACTTGACAGGGCACTGATGGCTTCTGCCCTTTCCAGAGCTACATGAAGACCGTCCTCCAACAACCTAAAGAGAACAAGAATTAAAACTTTTAGGATATTTCAGATATATGGAATCAGAAAACCAACTTGACAAAGATCAAAAACATAATTTTCAAGGACGAAATGTGCAATAAAAAGATTGAAGAAGTGCCAAAATAGTTTAATTTAGGGGGGGAAAAAGGAAAAAAGAAGATACAAAGGCAAACCAACAAATAATATGGTTGAATCGACTGAAAGCCTACCAGAATCTTTCAGAAGAAATTTCCTTCCCAGTATCAGTTATTTCACAAAATTACAATTTCCAATTTGCAGGCAAGAAAAATTTGATAGCAAGCAAGGGAGAAGAAACTGCAACCAAGTTCTATCTAATTATACTTCTTTCTAATACCAACAAACCATATCAGTGACAATTTTCATTGAAACATGTTTCCAAAAGAGCAGCATCAAATTCAAAACTTATAATAGATAAGAAAATGATTTAACTGAATCTCCAAAACATGAATCAGGGAAATCAAGAAGAGCAATTATCTTGGAGTAAGCCTATTGCTTATCTTTTCTTAAGCTCTGGTATCCAAAAAAAGGAATTGGAAACCTGTGCTGATGCTTTTATGATATTTAAAGCAAAATCCCCACAAAAGCTAAGGGAATACTATTTTGTTCGTAAATGTAACAGTATTCACAAGATACAAGCATAAAATTAGTTATGTTCTTCAATGCTTTTTAAGAAATGTGACCCAGACAATACAGTGAATACAAATGCTAACCGCAAAAACACATAAAAGGAATCCCAAATGAACCATGAACCTGTTAAACACATGAACCAGTATTGTATACTCTCCCTATTTTGCACAAGATATCAGAATAAATGAAAATGCTACAGGAAATATGCATTATGCTGTTTCAGATATACTATTCAATGGTCTCATTAAAGGCAGCACATTTCTTGAAATAATAAAGAAAAGAAAAATTTATTGTTCTCCTTTTTCTCATGTAATCAGTCTTTAATCTCATTGTTTTAATGCACACAATCATCTAAGCCAATCATTGTCATAATCCAGAAATTCTGTAAGAAAGGAATTCACATAATTCTCCATTTCAAAAGAAGCAAGCATATCAACATTCCATTAAGGTAAAAAGAAAAAAAATTGAAACTGCACATTTAAAGCATGCATATCAACAGTCCATCTAGCTTATTCTCTTTTCTTGTTTCATTTGCCATTTTCACCCCTAGAAACCTTTGGTTCTGAGAAAATATAGCCTACACACTTAAAGTAAAAGGAGCATCCGAGCATTTGACTCATTGGGTAGTGCAATGATCCGCAGCCTAAAGAGCAGGTTCGAATCCCCCGTCCCCATTTATAAAAAAAAAATGTAAAAGAAACACAAACTCTGCTATAAAGTCAAAGTTACCACTAAACCAGATCATACCCTTGCAAAATCTAACTAAACCACCAACCAAAGATATCCAAGCATATATAAACATAGTATAAAACAACTAGGAAACTGATATAGATTTAGACAACACATATGAAAAATGAAATTGAGAACCAAAAAAAAATTTGCCGAACGAGTGGAGGTATCGCTGACCTGAGAATAGACAGAGTTGAAGCAACATAGATTATCCATATAATTTAACCCCCCCTCCGCACCTCTCACCTCCTTTTGCTACCACTCAACATTTAAAAAAAAATAACTAACCTTGTTCCCCCAAGAATTCCTCAACCTGCATAATCAAAAAGAAAGAAATCAATTTTGATCATCAAAACCGGCAAAATCCCACCATCATAAACAGCCATAAAACCCCTGAAAACTCCTACAAACAAAAAAAAAAATACAAAATCATGAAATGGGTTTCTCAGAGTTTTCCTTACCGATCCACCAAAACACCCAATTCACAAGAAAGAAATTTAACAAAGAAAAAAAAAGAACAAAAACCCACAGCTGTACAAGACTTGAATCGCCCAATTCTTTGACTCTCCCTTCAGAGAAAAGAGACAAAAATATATACAAGAATTATACGTATACAAAATAATGACAAAACCTAGTATACTAGTAACTGTTATAAAAAAACAAAACCAAAAAAAAGTCTTTGGAGTGACAAAGAGAAAGAAAAGAAATAGGCTCCCACTGAAAAAGGCAAGAGCATGCTCTTATTGACTTATCCCTCTGCCTGTGCTTTGGTCCTTTTTCTTTGTTTACTGGTTAGTAAGAAAAGCACTAGAATTTTTCTCTATTTTTTTTAGTTTACTATTTGAAATGAAATTTCATAATTACTGCTAGGAAGAGCAGTTTTGGTTTTTTTTTTCTCTTTTTTGAGATTTTTATCTTTTTATTTTTCTCAATTTCCATTAAAATACTGCTTTAAAAACTTCTAATTTTTGCATCGGTCAGCTGTGACCAGCGGTGGGGACCCCTTTATTCAAAGGTCAGCCCATTTTTTCAACCGGCAACCAGCTTTATTTAATTCCATTGATTAATTATAATCAATTAAATTATTATGTGCGGATTGATTCGAGTCGGATAATGATCGGGTTCCTAACCTTGAAGTCATGACCTATATCTAACCTAGTCCAACCCGAGAATAAGACCTACCAGACCTGGTCCCAAAGCTGTGGATCTTCTTGGAATGACCGCAACCAAATTTTGATGCGAAAGCTTCTTGCTCAAATATTTAAATGATTGTAATAAATGATATTTATTAGTGTAGTAAGAAAAGAGGTAGTGATTGCAACTACTGAATTGAGATGCGTTAAAGGCCTTAGAGGAAAAAATTGGACAGTCTTTAAAAGTGTTTAAGTGTTTACCTCAAGAGAGGTGATGGATACGTATTGAGAAAAAAGTAGAAAAAGTATTATGAAGGAGAATGGTGGAGAATAAGATGTAATGAATTATGAAAAGAATTGAGTAACATGAGAGAATTTATTGAATTTAATGAAGGTTGTTTTATTTGGTTTTACTTAGAGTTTTGATTTCCATCATTATAGGCTTAGTCATAAGACCTTATCTTCGTTTTAAGCAATTCATTATATTGTACAGATTGTTTCTTTTGTTATTGACATTGAGATTTGTATATAACCATATAGTGGTTTATCATTAAAATTCATTTTAGAGATTATATTCAAACTCTTTATTATATCAAAGTAAGATTGCAAACAACCTAGGTTAAAACTTTTCAATGGCTGATAAGGGTGAACAGGGAGCAAACAAGAGTAATGTGAGCTTGATACCCACCATAGATGTGAGTGCATCAAATAGCACTTTGGTTAATACCAAATCATTCTATTGCTTACATTCCTTTAATCATTATAGGTTAATATTTGTTACGCATCCTCTAAGTGAAACAAGAGATAATTATTTCAATTGAAGGTGTAGTTTTTTTATTGCTATCCACTCCAAGACCAAAGCAAGGTTCGTGGATGAATTAATTTCAAAACTAGAAGTTAATTCTTTAGAATTTCAAGACTGGGTACAATGCAATGCAATAGTATTGTCTTGGCTTATAAATGCTCTTCCAAAGAATTGCAAGGTGGAGCAATGCATGTAAAGAATGCAAGTGATTTATGGGCAGACCTCAAAAAATAGTTCATTTAATGCATTACTTTTAGGGTTTATGAACTTAAGTGAGCTATTGCGCTCTTGTAGCAAAAGAAGGTTCCAACCTCTACTTACTATGAAAAATTGAAAGTTTTAAGGAGTGAAGTTTAAACCTTTCGGCCTTCACCAGTTTGTACTTGTGGAAAATGCACTTGTGGTGTGGTAAGACAAATGCAGGAGATGCATGAAGAAGAAAAAGTATTCGATTTTCCAATAAGGGTGGATGAAAATTATAAGACCGTGCGATCACAAGTTCTCAACATGGAACCTTTACAATCCATTGGACGGGCTTATGCATCACAACACAAGAGGAAAAACAATTGGTAGTGGCTACGTCGTGACCCATGGTGCTCGAAGGAGCAGCCTTGATGGCAATAAACCAGCCCACCGATGGCGCAAGATGTGACAACGTACAGAAGGTCGAGGATCAATGAGTTAATCAACATAATGAACAGTGCGATCAACGCAAAGGTGAGGGTTCCTGTTCCCATTGCTTTCATTGCAACAAAATTGATCACACCCACGATTCTTATTACAAGATCATTGATTACCCATTAGATTGGCAACGAGAACCAAAACTCAAAAGGGAACAAGCAACGTGCTCGATGATCGAGCTATAAAAGCCTCAATGATGATGAGTGGAACATAAACCCATGCGTTTATGACTAGAACAGAGACGAACACGTCCCACGAGTCCCTTTTAATGATTCCTGGGCTAACATAAGCCCACATCTAGCAACTAATGGACTTTTTAGGTTGGCAATCCAATAAACTCAATCTTAATAATGGACTAACAACTAATATGGCCTTCAATGCAAATTTTTCTAGTAATTCTTCTGGTAAAAGGGACAATTTGTGAGTAATTGACATTGGAGCCACAGATCATATTGCTTATCAAATTGATAGTTTATCTAATAAGGTTGAAAATCCTAATATTTCATCTGTTCAAATTTCTAATGGTGACACTGTGCCAATATATGCCTTGGGTCGAGTGAATCTTGGGCAAATTTAACCTTGGAACGAGTCTTTGGCATACCTAAATTTTGTTTTAAATTACTATCTGTGAGCAAAATAACTTGTGACTTGAATTGTCTTCTCATATTTGGATCTAATTTTTGTGTGATACAAGACTTACACTAGAGGAAGCCGATTTGAGTAGGTAAAGTGCGAAACGGGTTGTATTGCTTAGAGCCAACGAGTTTGAGCAAGGCATTTTTGGCTAAAGGCAAAGATACTACAATTTTGTGGCATCACCAATTAAGGCACATTCCTTTGGATCGTCTCTCAGTGGTTTTGAATTTATATATTACCAGCACTAGGAAAGATAATTTTCTTTGTGAGGCTTGTTGTAGGGCAAAACAAACTAAATTCCTTTCCAAATTCATAAGAATAAAAGTTTCATACTTTTTATTTAATTCACTTTGATATTTAGGGTCTTTATCACACTACATCTTTTTTGAGGTCATACTATTTTCTCATTATTGTTGATGACTACAGCCAGGCAATATGGGTTTTTCTTATGAAGCATAAATCAAAAACAAGAAATCTCTTGCTTTATTTTTTTCCAGCGAGTTAAGACACAATTCAATGCACAAGTCAAGATATTGTGAATAGACAACAACTTAGAATTTAAACATGAAAATTTAGTGCGCCACTATTTTGAGTATGGTATGGAGAGACAAATCAGCTGTGCAAACACACCCTAACAAAATGGTATGGTGAAACGCAAGCATCTGTCATCTTTTAGAAGTGGCTTGTGCATTTTGATTTCAAGCCAATTTTCCCATCACTTTTTGGAGTGAATGCGTACTTACTACTGTGTATCTGATCAACTGCATGGCACTCATAGTCATAGAGAACCGGACTCCATTTAAGAACCTATTTGGTAGACCTCCGTCTTATGATCATCTTAGATCTTTTGGATGCCTTTGTTACAAGCATGTCAATAATAAGCCGCATGATAAGTTTGCCTCACACAATAAATTAGGTATTTTTATTGGCTATCTTTCAAGATAGAAAAGATATTGCATAAATGATCTTGAAAGCAAAAGGATTTATATGTCTCGAAATGTGTAGTTTTGGGAAATACTTTTGTCAAGACAAATAAAAAGGTTGATAATTCAATTGCTGAAAATACACATCAGCATGTACAGACCACTTTTCTCAATCTATTTAATGAGCCACGTGGACAGCTAAGTCTCGAAAATATTGCACAACAAAGTAGGATGATAGCCCATTTTCACCAACCAGTTCACAATAAGTTCTAAAGTTTAAACTAGCCCAGCATAAAGATATATTATTGGCACACGCTTAAGAAAAGTCAACACTAAAGGGCCGTAAAGTCAACATCCCGAAATTAAAGGTGCAGACTCCACATGATTCATCTTTAAGCCATGAACTTTCAAGCCTAGTTTGAAGTCCCACTTTGGGCCATGAAGAAGACTACCTCAACCAAATTGCTAATTCACTTATTTTCCTTTTGATTGAGCCAAGGATAGAAATTCAAGAAGTTAATGTCCCTTCATCACATTGAGAACAACACAATATTATTCCTACCAAATGATAGCAATAAGTTTCAAATACTCTTTTTAGTTATGATTATACATTGCCTCCCTCATTTGCTCCAACGTCACACTCTTCACCTCCTTCAACCAACTCGACGATATATCCGCTATCTTACAATATTTCTTATTCTAAATTTTCTAGAGCTCAAAATGTGTTTCTAGTCGCCATTTGTACTACCAATGAACCAAAGTTATTTTTTCAAGCAATTAAATCCCAATACTGGCGTGATTTTATGGCAAAGGAGATATCTGCATTAGAAGTAACAATACTTGGATCTTAACATCTCTTCCTCCAGGGAAGTATGCTATTGATTCTAAATGGGTGTATCAAATCAAATACAACACAAATGGAGCAATGGAATATTATAAAGCACAGCTAGTTGCCAAGGGCTATACTCAAATTAAAGGGGTGAATTTTCATGAGACTTTTTCTCCAATCACAAAATTAATCACAATACGCTATCTTCTAGCAATTGCCAGGGCACATAGTTGAGAGTTCTACCAATTGGATGTCAACAATGCATTCTTACATGGGGATCTGAAAGAAAGAATATACATGAAAATACCTGAAGGTTTTGCCAAAAAAAGGATAGTAACGTGTTTGTTGTTTCAAGAAATCTCTTTATAGGCTTTGACAAGCATCATGAAATTGGTATCAAAAGTTTACTAAATCTTTACTAGCTATTGGTTTTGTCCAATCTCAAGCCGATCATTCTCTATTTACATACTCGGCCAATGAGTCATTTGCTGTACGATTAATCTATGTTGATGACGTTATATTGATAGGGACTAACGCACTCAAGATTTTTGAACTATAAGCTCACTTGGATCATGAGTTTTGTATTAAAGATTTGGGCAAATTGAAATATTTTTTGGGAATAAGGCAACACAATCTCCGTCTAGTGTTGTCTTTTGCCAATGGAAATATGTACTTAATATATTGGTAGATAGTGAACTCACTAATTGCGAGCCCATGTCTTCACCCATGGACCAACAGGTCAAGCTAAATCCTGATACAGGCCCACTTTGTTTAGACTTAGGGCAGTACAGAAGGTTAATTGGCAAATTGTTACATTTCACCATTACATGACTTGATATTTGTTTTGTTGTTCATGTGTTAAGTCAATTTATGCATTGCCCATATCAACCACATTTAGATGCAGCTTTGCATGTCTTTAGATACTTAAAAGGGTCTCCAGGCCAAAGTTTATTACTTCTTACTCATAATCAGTTGACTCTTCGAACTTATTGTGATGCAGATTGAGCGGGCTGCCTAACGACACATAAGTCACCTACTAGATACATCATCTTTCTTAGTTCGTCTCCTATCTCGGGGTGATCCAAAAATAGTCAATTGTTTCTCATTCCTTAGCAGAAGCATAGTACAGGGCCATGGCTACTATAAAAAGTAAGATTGTGTGCTATAGAAAGTAAGATTGTGTGTCTTCTTAGACTATTAGCAAATCTACATGTTTCTCATCTGACATCGATTCCATTATTTTGCAATAATCGGGATGCAATCCATATTGCTGAAAATCTTATTTTTCATGAGCGTACTAAACATATGAAGATAGATTACTATTTTATTAGGCAGCATACCCATTAAAGACTCTTATTCCACGAACAATTTCATCATAATTTCAATTGGCATACATATTCACCAAGGCTCTTAAATGAAATCGATTTCATGATTTACTAATCAAGTTGGGCATTGCTAATCTGCATGCTCCAACTTGAAGGGGGGCTAATGAAGGTTGTTTTATTTGGTTTGACTTAATGTTTGATTTCCTTTATTATAAGCTTAGTCATAGGACATTACTTTCATTTTAGGCAATTCATTTTATCATGTTATGGATAAAATACCTTTCTCCCTAAGTTTTGATCGAAATTACACAGAAGTTCATTAGTTTTTGAAATGGACACTCTATCTCAAAAAAATATTTTTCACTAGACACATAAGTCCAACCGTTAATATTTTTATCAACTTGTTGACTTGGCAAAGGTAAAAAAATAATTTTACCCTCGATTAATTTTTATAATTACTATTATATAATTTAATTATTTTTCATTTTTTATTAATTAAAAAAATGGGGAGCCCCGATCGAGCTCTCAAAGGAAGCACTAGTTCTCCTCCATTTCCCTTTCTTGGTGAATGGAGAGCACTTATCAATAATCCCTACTTTTTTTATTTTTTTATTTTTTAAAATTAATAAAAAAATATATTTTAATTTTTTTATAACTTTTATTAACAGTGTTTGTATTTTTAAGGTGAAGTGTTTATTTCGTAAATTAATAGACTTTCATGTAATTTTCATCAAAACTTAGAAAGTAAGAGTATTTTATACTCATTTTATTGTACAAATTGTTTCCTTTCATATTGATATTGAGATTTATGCATAACCACATAATGGTTTATCAATAAAATTCATTCTCGAGAGTATTCAAACTCTTTAAAATTTCTAACGTGTCCTTGATTAAATACCAATATTCATTATATATATATATATTATCAAGTGGAAGTAATTTCTAAAAATAATTGGCCAAGAAGTGTTTATTCGACATCATGAGAAAGGCATACTTAGAATATATTCATCATGAGAAAAACAGGTCCATTATGAAAGATTATCAGGAGAAGAAAAAGCATGTTGAGTGGCGAAGCCAATGTGTGGGTGGTGGCAATCACGCCCTCAAGTTTTTTAAATATTAATTTTTTATTATATATAATTTGAGATATATAGATCTATAATCTTATATGATTACCATTTTTGTCACTAAACACTGAATATATTCTTCATAGGAATAATACTTTAATCCATTACGTAAATTAGGTGGTTGACAAATATATTGGTTGACGTAATGAAGTTTAATAACAATTAAAAATGTGTCACATGCTTTTGATAATGAAAAAAAACCATTTGTATTTAAGAAAAAATTTTAAAAAAGTCTCTTAATTATTTTCATATTTGAAACATCAAATTAAATTCTCTAAAACATCTCAATGCTAAAATTAATCCGCGAACCTTGTCATCAATCTAGTTTACTTTGACTATTGTTCCTTGTATCTATGCTTATTCTCATTTTATAAGATAACTCTTGAAAAATAATAATAAATTAACCAAAATCAATCTTTTACTTAAAAAAATATAACATTTTTCATGCATTGTTCGATTTTTTTCTCGTAATCATCAAGTCCCATGTCACATTGTACTTATAACATTCTTTTATTTAATAAAGTATAATAAAAAGGGGTAAAACAATCAACAGAAACTTTTTTAATTCTTAAATATGAGAGGTAAGGTACTGTTGCCAAATGAGTAGGAGGCGACAAAAAAAAAAAGCCCGACGCCCCAAGCGAAAGGAGGAAACAAATGTACAAAGTCAAGTCAAGCCCGGAAACAGCAATAACCGGTTAGCTTAGCATCGATGTAATCACACGTTGTAAGTTGTAACCATTAACAAAGCAAAAGCAAAGTATGTCCGTTCCGAAATCAACGAATATGCCACCAGCTATGTTCGGCCGTTATACTTTTTTGCACGTGGCATGCTCCTTCCTTCTTTGTGTCTTCCCTCCTCTCCCTCAACGTGCCCCCTCCATTCCTTCTCAAATCTCTTCCTCCCTTTCTACTTATTATTTTTGTTTTCTATGGATTCTTTTCTCCATTTTTGATCCTTCTTTATTGTTGGTTGCATCTATTTTCATTGTTTCATAGTTGCAGAGTCCAATGGTGAGAGTCAAGGATTTTGTTTTAACTGGGAAAATATTCTTGAAATATGGAGGGACGTTTGATTGGTGGGATGAGATTGATGAATCAGAGGAATGGCAGAGATTCATTTTCTACTTGTTATGTGCTTCCTATGCTTTCGTTTCCTTTGTCGCCCTGGTAGTTTCTTTCATCCCTTCGTTTTACTTACTTGCATTTTCATGTTTAGTTGTTTCCAATGGGAAAAAGAATGGAATTGCAAGGAAACAATTCGATCATATGAAATTTGGAAAGCCATTAATGGATTTTATTTCTTCTCAAGAGGGTTGGTTTACGATGCATGCGAAGTTAATGTTAAGTAAGCTTGAGTTTTTGCTGCAATATCTGTTTAGCAATCAAATCAAGATTTTCTTTGTTTTTTGTTTGAGTTTAGATTTAGCAGGCAGGGGTGATTTCACTCAGGACTAAAATGTTTACTTTGGTTGAAAGAAAATAATGGTTTTAGAGCGGAATGCATTATCAGATATATATATATATATATA